AGGCAATCCCTCACTCGTTGGTTGGTTGGTTGGTTTCTCATTCGACATTCTGCTAACTAAACCAGACTTGGACTTTGAGCTCCGGGGAGCTTCAGAGAGGCAGGCAGAGCGGGGAAATTAACGACTTGCAAACTCCTGCCCAAGAAGAGAGAAAACGGCTTAGTGTCGGAATCCGGTGACGCAGGCGCCTGCAGTCACTGCCCTCTCCGCCAGGCGAGGTGCTGCAGAAAGCAGGAGGGCACCTGGACTGCACCGTCCGGCTGACCGTGAGAAGCTCGCCCCCAGCATCCGCCGGTGTCTGCTGCCAGTGTCTCCCTGGACTGCCACATTCCTCCTTGTGACCTTCCCAGTCCAAGTCCAGCCAGGACTGGGCGTCCCGAGCCCCACAGGGAGCCCCCACGGCACCAGGTCCCTCCTTTTCACGCGTCTCCCCTAAACATGCTGAATAAGCGAGGCTGCCTTTCTCCCACGTGGAGCCCCCTCGCCCCAGGGCACGGGGACGCCACCCTGGGACCAGAGAGCCCCCGGGGCCCAGCGCAGCCCCAGCGCAAACACCACCGCAATCCCAGCCAGTCCCTCCAGATCGTTCTCTCATCAAGTATCGGCCTCTGACAAGTACGCTTTGCAGACAGTGTATTAACCTCGCAGAAAAATCACGGACAGCCACACTGAAGTCATGAAGTGGAACACGGCTCACTGTAAATAATACATAAGGCCGGAGTGGAAAATGGGACTTGTGTGATGAATGATGGGACCCGAGACCGTCAAACACCAAAACCAGGGCTCCGTGGCTGCAATCGAAGCTCCCCAATTCCCCCTTCTCATCGCGACTTCAGGCCCCCAGCTCACAGCACACGAATGAACCCCAAACGCTGTAATCGACCCAGCTGACCGGAGAGGAACGCGGGGGTCGTGCGTGGCTCCGCAGTGCAGCGTGGCCGTGGTCCCCTTAATCACCACGAGGTCCTCCGGAGGGTTAACGATGGACGTTCGATCTGGGAAGACGAGACACAACTCAGACAAGACTGCACGCTTGGCAGTCTCCTCCCCGGGGGGTAATGAACTGCTCATCTAACATCAAAACCTCCTGGTTGTCTCTTATCTTGGCCACCCGAGCGTGGTGGAAGCGCTCAGAACGGCTCAGGGAACTGAGCGCGAGCCCGCCCACATCCCGGCCAAGGGAGCAGGTCAGTCTCGCCCTCTCGGGTCATCCCAGAACCTCTGGACCCTCGGGAAGAAAACGAGGGGAGGGCTGCATGCAGGTCCAACGGGTCCCACGTGCCGAGGAAGCACCGGTTCCCTCCCGAGACCGCCACCATCCTGGCGGTTCCTGCTGCCCACCCCGTGCTCGCTCACTCTGCGAGGCGCTGTCATGGGCGCCGTGTCACTGGCACCTAACAGTCTGGGGGTGCTGGTGCTGGGCCGCTACTGCTCCCAGGAATCGGGCAGGAAAGCGGGTGCTCTGAGGTGCAGGGTCTTGTCTGATTTTAATTCTTGATCCGGTTTTCTTATGTGCTGCTCACACAGCTAGCCAGCCTATCAGTTGTTACTCGAGTTAGTTTGGGATAATATCCCTGCCTACTGACTTTAAAAAGTTAATCTTCTCTCTTTCCTGAAACATCCCCACTAAATCTTTGAATACATTTTCTAATTACTCTTTCAGAAGCTGGAAAATTAATTACTCAGCAGATTTCTATAAATTAGTTGTAAAAATGATGATTCTCCTCTGATTAGATTAGCGGGTCCGAGCGCACGGAGGCTCCCCAAGCACAGACGACACGGTGATTAAACCATCTTTAACAGAAGGTCCCACGGGGCTGTGGTCCTTACTCCACACGGTCAGCGCTGCGGACGCGTCCAGGGACCCCTCCGTGTTGGCTGCGTAGCAGGTGTAGTTGCCAGCATCCTGGATGAAGACGGGGGTGATCTGCAGACCCCCAGACTCCAGGAGCACGAACCTAGGGATCCTCACAGAGCCACTGGCCAGAATGCGGTTTCCTGAGGAAAGGCAGAGGACACGGGGGTGTGAGGGAAGGCAGGGCTGTGCCCGCACCCCCAGGGAGCCGCTTGAGGACGTCACCAGGAGAAAGTGCCGACCCTGTGCGCAGAAACAACCAAAGCCATTTGCTTCAGCGTCAGTTAGAGCAACAGAAACCAAGACCATCCCAACCATCCAACACTGAGATCGGGCTACACAAACGGTGGTCTGTGTGTGTGACTGGTACCGCTGGGCGACTGCGGGCTTTGTGTTTGTATGCATTTGAAAATGTCTTTATAAAGCGATTATTACATTCTAAATCAGGAAAGAAAAAAGAAAAGGTATTAAAGAGTCCCCTCCTGATGAATCAGAAGCTTCCCAGGTCTTTCTGTCTAAAAGCCGTGGTCCAGAGCACCAGCCACACCCGTGAGAGCCGAGGAGCCACCAGGCGGTCTCCTGGGTGTGAAAAGACATACGTTTTGACGTTAGACCCAGAGCTGGTCCTCCAAGGACGACAAGTTAATCTGTATGGGAACAAACCCAGCTGAGCTGGTATTTGTTAAGGATGGACTGCGTGTGCTGTCCAGCCGGTGACAGGTGTGCCTGACGTGTAGACGGCACTGTGGGAGCTGAGAGAGGGCCTGGGACACACCAGCACGCTTCACAGGGTCTGAAGACACAGCCGGAATGCGTGTCAAATTCTGGAGGACCAGACGATCCTGTGCCAGAAGCATCTTTCTCAAAATGAAAAAGGATATGATCCTGAATTTTGAATATTACCAGGGAAGAACGCCTTCATTTCACACACAGGGAGACCGCGGCTGGAACCCAGAACCTGGCGTCGTAAGGAGCCCACTGGCCGAAGGCACCAGATGAAGGGTCGACAGGAGGGTGATGTTCGCACATTTAAAGGAACATGTTTCCTAGACCAAGAGCTCCGTGAAGCTTAGGGGGCCTTGCCCGTCTGACTCCCCCCACACCATGCCTCTGGCATCCGGCACCCGGCAGGCACTCAGTCCACAGCTGTCTACTCTTCACTGAACGGACGGGAGTGAGGGGGACGGACTGGACCCCCGGCCCACCGGCTCACCTCCCAGGCCCGCCCAGGCGCAAGCCGCCTACCTCTCCTCCAGGTGATGGCGGGCCTGGGAGCCCCGGACACTCCACAGCTCAGGACGGCCGTCATCCCGTCGGTGACCGTGGTGTCCACGGGCAGCTGGGTGAAGGCTGGAGCAACATCTAGGCAGAGGGGGCGAGGAGTGACACAGTCAGTGTGCTGTCCCCGAGAAACGCTCTGCCGGCCTAGTGGACGCATCCACACGGGCTTCTGTGGGGCTGGTCACAGAGACAACTGCAGCCATAAACAGTGGAGCCTTTTAGGAGTGATGGGACCTTCACTCTCGTCTCTCCGAAACTGCCTGTCTGTGCTTACGACCTAAAGAGACAGGCGGTCCTGTGAGACAGTGTACAAGCTGGCATCAGGGAGGGCTCAGCCAAGCCTGGACTATGCTACCCACGACCACACCCGAAATCCCCGACCCCGATTGCGCCCCAGACCTCCCAGGTCCTGTGTGGGGCCCTGAGGAGCCTCGGCTGCCGCCGCCAGCAGAGGAGGCGGGTGGGACACAGTGGATGCAGCTGCCCGCCCCCTCTTCCCCGCCGGGCAGCCCCTCCGCAGCACATCCCCGTGCCCACCTGGGAGACGCAGGGGCCTCCCCTCTGGTCTCGAGGCTCCTGTCGTCCCCTTGAGCCCCGTCTGCACCAGGCACTGGGGGCGCAGGGAAGGCTGTAACGACACCTCACAGGCCCCTCCTCGCCTTCCCCAGGGCTCTGTCCCAGAGGAACTGACAAAGATGCTCAGTAAACGCTTGCTAAGTGACCGAACAATGATTGTTTTCCACATTACATTTTTCTTTCATTAGAGGTGCTTTAATTAAAAAAAGAATCCATTTTGCAAAGCCCTGTACTTAGAAACAGGTAACGTAGCATTATCATTACCACTTGTTTATTTGTTCGCTCTCCAGTTGTCATGGTAACCAGGTTAAGTAGCACTTTCAGTTACATTTACCAGACCAGCCTCCCAAGACCCTGCATGGATTCCATTTCTCCATTTTGCTGAGAAAACTGAGGCTGAGCGAGATCAGGTGGTCTGCTCTGGGCCTCTCACTGCAGCAGGGTCTGCAAACCACCACCTCGGGCCAAATCCAGCCTGTCGCCAAATTCTGTAAATTCTACGGAACAGCCGGGCCCATGGGCTCAGAACCGTCTGCGCTGCCTTCAGGCTATGACAGCAGAGGTGGGTGGTGGCCGCGGAAAGCACGGCCCTCAAAGCCGAAAGCTGGGGCCATCTGGCCCTTCACAGAAGCGGCTCGCCCTTCCCCGCCCCACAGCACCCTGGCCCCACGGGTCCAAGATAGGCTTAAGCCATTCTAGTTGATAAGACTCAGTTTCCGGCTGAAGTTCCCAGTTTTATTTCTGCAGCTTGAAGCAATCCTGGTTTCCTAGGCTCCACAGTGAAGGAGAAATTCGACCCCAGGGCAAGGTTCAAGGAAGTGGCCCCTAGTCTACCAAAACGCATGCATGAATCTTTAAATATTTTGTTAAATATTAAGTATTTAATATTTAACAGTTCCGGCTGACAAAGGCCGCTGGCCATGCACACACTCACAGGGACTTGCTTTCTCGAAAGGCTCATGAAAGGGCAAACGTGAAAGGGGGAGTTCCACAGCCACCAAATCCTGCTCTGTGTTAGAACAGTATTACGACTGTGGGAGACTAAAATGGAAACCCACAGACACGATGAAAACCTTTACCTTGATTCTACTTTTCAGACGGAGAGCCGAAATATTTCTGTTAATGGGATAATAAAAGAAACTCACAGAAGAACTATAATCGCTCAATAGACCTAAAATAG